CGGCAATAATGACGTTCAACAGTCCTCAGCGACAACTGTTCCAAAGGCAGCCGTTCTAAACAACACTCCGGGTCTCATGGGCATGGATCGAAAGGCCATGGAACAGGAGCGCTTGGCAAGACTTGGTAAACGAAAGCGCGACGTATCGCCCGAAAGACCTTCCAAGCAGGTTGCGAGACCACCTGCAGTCAAAACGGCCTCCGATGAAATACCACTGCAATATCCTAGAGGGACGATCAAGCGCACATTCGCGTCGAAATATCCACGGACCGACGACATCACCATCGACGAATTATTAGAAGCATCTTCAGTCAACATCGCAGTCATCAGCTCATTTCAATATGACTCGGGATGGTTGTACGAGAAGCTTGACCCATTGAAGGTGAAACAAATATGGTTGATGAATGGTAAACACAGAGGCGAAGACGTACAGGCAAAGCGCATTCAGGAATGGAAGGAATCTGGTGTGCCAAACATGAAGCTGCATTTCCCACCAATGGGTGGCATGATTGCTAGCATGCATAGCAAGTTCATGCTATTGTTTGGGAAACACAAGTTACGCATTGCTATACCAACCGCGAACATGACCCAGACCGACTGGGGCGAAGTTCCGAACGATTGGCAACCCGGTATCATGGAGAACTCAGTATTCTTGATTGACCTTCCGCGGAGACCTGACGATACTGCTACCAAGAAGGAAGACTTGTCGACTTTTGGTCGCGAATTGCTATATTTCTTAGAGAAACAGGAAGTTGGGCCACAAGTGGTTGATGGATTGCTAAAGTTTGATTTTGCGCAGACTAGCCATCTGGCCTTCGTTCACTCCATGTAAGGCCCCTAGTATGCTTGCTAGTTGTACGCACTGATTCGGAATAGTGGTGGTTCACATAAGATCGAAACAGATCATCCAACAGGTCTCCCTGGCCTTGCACAGGCTATACGAGAGCTGCATTTAGACGATGTCGAACACATTGAGCTGGACTACGCAGCTTCCTCCCTCGGTGCCATCAACGATAACTTCCTGTCACGCATCCACCTTGCTGCACGCGGCGAATTGTTTACGAAAGACAATGCGCTCGTTGCCGATGTGCGCAATAGCATTAGGATATACTTCCCTATCCACGACACGGTCGAGAAAAGTATGGGAGGTCTGGGATGTGCAGGTATCATCACGTTGAGTCCTCAATGTTACAATGCACCAACATTCCCAAAAGAGTGCATGCGTGACTACGACTCTATGCGACGGGGTATACTATCGCACAATAAATTGCTGTTTGCGCGTGGTCGCAAGAAGGACGGGAAGCCTTTCGCGTGGGTTTACGTTGGCTCTGCCAACATTTCTGAATCAGCGTGGGGAGGGCAGAAAGTACTGAAAGGCGGACGAATAGGGAGTCTGAACATCAGGAACTGGGAGTGTGGTGTCGTCATGCCTGTACCAGACGCCAAGTTACAGAGTCTCGAACAGAACGGACTACCATCCATGGATGTGTTTGCGGGCACGGTCGAAGTTCCTTTCAGATTTCCCGCGGACAAGTACGACGGTAAACGACCCTGGTTCTTCAGTCCGTGATAGGCGGCACCCAGATCGCCATGATGCTAGTCGCTGGCGGTGACTCCAAAGACGTCCAACTTTCCGGCGGAACCGCTGGACGAAAGGGCGCTGGACATGCGGTTTTGGTTCCGTAGTGAACGAGCGAACGAGCGGAGACAACTCCGCACACAGTATGCATCTGTAACCTTTGCGCTGGTGCATAGGTGTCCACGCACATTGTAGCGGAAAAGAAGTGAGCAGGACCCAAAATAAGCGTCCAAGTCTGTAGGGTTTTGCGAGATCTCTGAATCAGGCCGTATATGCCGTATAGAAGTAAATGTGACTCGATAAAATGCCTGCTGCCAATCATCCTGCCAATTGTTTACCGAAGCCTCCCGGAGGGAGCCGGACCAATGCGGCCGTTCGGTGGACGAAACGGAGATACGGAGGCTCTGCCAGCAAAAGTTCCGATGCGCTTCGCGAACACGACCGATGAGCGATGATGACAGCGGATGATACACCATGATGTTGCGAGTTCCACCATGAGAACGCGACCCAGTCTCTATTCGTATCACGCATGTGTTCCCTTCCTTTAGCCTCATGTCGGACTCAAAGCGCGCGCACCTCTCCGCCGACGCGCTGCTACCTAAAGATAGACCTATAACCGCTCCCCTTCATACATGGTTCACTTCGCCCGCGAGATCGCATAGCAACCTTGCGCAAGCGAAAGAGCTCCCGCTGCATCTGATTCAGCTGATCCTCACACATGTACGTTGCCCTGTACATTCACATGCGACCAGTTTAGATGCGACCACGGCCCCTAGGGAGCTATGCTGACAATCATGAAAGCTGGACGATGTCGGTGACCTTGCGCGCATCACGCGCACATCGCGTCTCTTCTATTACATGACGCTCCCGCGACTCTACGAGAAAGTTACGCTACGTTCATACGCCGACATACGATACGTCGATGGCAGACCGGAGGGATACGGTAATGGCAGCCCTTTTGCCATGGGTCTCAACACGCTGGTGTCGCGGAACTTCAGCGACTACATACAGTCGTTCCGTGTCATAGGCGACTGGCGAGAACATGATGTCGACGACTATAAACAGGGTCGCGTGCCAGACAACAGCATGATACTGCAAATCGTCATGCGTGCCGCGCTTGACAAGATGAAGAATCTCAAGGCTTTCGCGTATGTCACGTGTCAGAGCCATATAGGACAGTTGCTGATGTGCATAGTTGGGAGCTGAGCACCCCTCCGTTGAGTACGGTATACCAAGGCATTACGACAAGAACATTGCTAGCGTCGCTCACCATTCGATGCCCGTCACGACGAACACCGCGACCGACTACCATTATACCTCCGCTTCCGAATTTGACCACACTGGTTGTGTACGACATCGATCCACTATGCTATCCCGACGACATATCGCTGCTTCTAGCCGGTTCCAAGAAGCTCGAGAACCTAAAGCTACACTGGAGTCCGCGTATGCGGGCTGAAGGCGAAGAGTCAGTCAGCCTGCACTCGATATTCGGTCGGTGCATCGCTGCGAGATACGCGATTTCCATCAAGCGCTTGGCCATATACAACGTATATACTCGGTTCTCTGGCGACGACTTTCACAACGTTATGAATCACGACTGCCAAACAGAGATCACCGTGATCAACTCCATGGGCAGTTCCGACCCTATGACAGTTTTTGCTGACGATTCTTGGAGGGTACACAACAACCACCCGACGCCTCGTAACCTGAAGATGATACGCACTGATAACACGGACAAAGAGAGTGTTACCATGCTGGGGAAATTCAAGGGTCTGGAGCGACTGTACATCGTGAATAATAGGCGAGGCAAGGACGCATCTCCCAAGTCAAACAGCACAGCCGCGACGCCTACGACACCGTCCACCATGACGCCGGGCGTGAACTGCAATACCAGCGCAAGCAACACCCCTAACGGCATGACCCAGCAACGCTGCCGCAGCCTCGGAAGCGAGTTCCTTGCGGTCATTCAAACCAATCATAATAAGACCATCCGGCATCTCCTTCTTAACGAACGTTGGGTACTGTCTGATGATGCCCTCTTCAGACTTTGCCAGCTATGTCCTAACCTGGAGCAACTCGGTTTCGCTTGCGGTGTCCCACCCCTCGAGTCGTTACGCCAAGTCTTTACCCTAGTTCCCAAGCTATGGGCCGTCCGTTTCCTAGCCCGTCCAACTTACGACACAAACGACCCGATGGGAGACGATGAGGATCCCACGATGCATGCGTTTGCGTTTGCAACAGAATTTTGGCGACCGGAGTACAAGAACGTCAAGTACATTGGTTACGGCGATAATATCGTGTTCAAATTAGGCGGTGTCTATTTCCCTCCAAAGGGTAAGGAACCGGTGCCAAATGATAACGAGAAGAGCATGAACGCTAAAAGAGCTGGACCAAAAAGGAAAATCGATGTCTTGAGAAGGGAGGACGTAAAGGATATCGAGATTTGGGGTTTAGATACTACGGAGTTCGACCCAAAATTTCTCTGAGAGAATCAGCTGCATGGAACGCGAACTGCACATCTCGGACGTTGAAGCAAGCGCATTGGCTGCTTCATCCACCATCGGTTGGCCACTGGCTTCCACAAAACATCCCGCTAAATTCGGCTGTTAGAGACTCCAATGGCGTCTTCCAGAGAGTATTGCGACTTTTCTCGATCAGTAACGCGACGTAACGTTCACGGCGGTAGTTCGATCCTTTCGCTTCGATATCACATTTTTCAGAGCTAGACAGTGCTTACCGCAAGCAAGTCAACAGTGTGTATTAGTACAAAATAGTCGCCCGTGATGCGATGTGTACAGTACAGCATAAGAGGATACCATCGGGGCGTATTGGATGTTACAGGGCGATAGAGTATTGTCTCTTCCAATCCTGATTCGATCATTTCTGCAATTCTCTCCTCACAATACTGCTGAGTGTACATCGATGGTTCAACTGGTATAAGGCGCATTGGGGCCTAGTGATATGATATTGATGCGTCCAAACGCTCTACAGACATTCTTAATGATTTCGTTGTCCCAAGTCAGAAGACTTTCCGATGCTGTTTGCTACGTGTCTCATCATATGATTTCTTTTCTTTCACTGTCTTAAGTCCAGAACTTATCCTAGCGCCCATGCTTGTTGAATCAGTCATTAACAACCCCCAATGTGTTGGCTTCGAGTTCTACTTTCGAGCAGGTCTTCTACCGACGCAGACGACGAGCGATCAGATACCTCTACGGTGCTATCCAGCGGCGAGATGGATCCTGATTCGATTTATGAAAACACAAACAACAAGTACACTTCATAACAGGAAGCAGGTAAGGGTACTACTGGACAAGTCACATTCTGCGCACGCAGGCCCTCTATAGTCGCAAGCCCTCTTATGACGAATCTCACAGCGCAAGGCCCAGGCCTTGTAGCTATGAAGATAGCTAGTCGAAAGATGTTCCGCGACAGGATAGCCACTGAGATTATTGTCCTACAGCGCATACACAGCTTCTTCGCCGCAGCTACTGACGAAACTATTGCAAAACACTTGCCTAACCTCGTCGACTTTAACCCAATAGTAGACGGCGGGTCGCGCTGGCTAGCAGTTCATCCTATCCGTGGCTTCGATTTCGAGCGACTCCGGGTCGTAATTACCCATATAATACAGCCTTCTTCACCGAACTCTGTCACTTACAGCCTCTCCTTCCCTGCGATACCGGAAGTGCTCGTATTACACGTTGCGAAGCAGTTGACAGGAGCAGTCGGGTGGCTGCACGACATCGCCAACACCGCTCATAACGACATCTTTGGCGGGAACGTTATGCTCGACTTGTCTAGCTGGGACAAGGGGCCTGATTTCACAATGCCTACTATTGTCTTGATTGACTTTAACCGTGCAAGCTTGAATCCCAATGAAAAGGAGAAAGGTGCAGACCGTTCATTCGTGTACGAGTTTATACACATGCTCGACAGTACTGGCAGAGCGTCATCACAAGGAGCCCATGAACTAGAAGACACCAGTACACCGAAGCGTTCGCCGACCTGGTGAGACGACTTCATCAGCTTTCTAAAAACCAACAAAAGCCAGTATCTTCAAGAAAAGTCCTTGACTTTGACATGCTTCAAGGACCAATTCGGTACGGAAATCAATCGTCGGTTGGAAGAAATGACTGAAGACGAAGTGAGACAGGTGAAAGAGTTGCTCGATATGATTGCGGAGAAGGAAGTTCGTTTTCCAAGTGAAGATAGGTTTAGAGAGGTATTAGAGCAGCAAGCGGATACCTAGTTACTTGTTGTTATTGTTGTTCTACGAGAAATATAATAATCTATCCTGCCAAATGCAGGGCCGATTCCCAGCTCTCCAAGGATGTTTTTCCTACATTGTACAAGTTGCATAAAACATGACACAGAAGGGTTTTTCACACATCATTGAAAGAAGTCGTTAGAACAAGTAACTACCTCTGATTTTGCTATCGCATCTGATAATGCTAGAAGGCCGCTCTGAGCGGTGTACGGAAGTTGATAAGATGAGGATGTGCACCGCGCTCGCAATTTTTAGACCTAGTACCAACACCGCGGCTGCAATTGCGGTGGTTATACCACTCTGGACAGACGCTAAGATCGTCTGCGTCATCCATATCAGAATCGTCGTCTGTGAGCTCCGGGGTAGGGGGTGGTGTAGCCCTTGATGTAATGGGTAGCGTTGGCGTTCGGATATCGTGAGAAAGAAGCAGAAACTTCATATGTTCCTCATTCTTCCTGAGCGTTCTGTTGTCTAGTTTGAGCCTTTCGTTTCGTGCGTTGTTGGCGCTCCTCTCGATGCCGTTGTTTGCTTTGACATCGCTAAGTTCCTTCTCGCGCCTCATGAGTTGTACCTCCGCGCTTAGTTTCGCATTCTCGACCCGTATAAGTTTATTCTCGAGCTCTTTCTTATCGTTTCGAAGGGAAGCATTATCAGCTCGGAGATTGTTGTAGACCTCGTCTTCATCGACCTGCTTACGGAGTTGCCAGTACTTCTTTTCGTATATCTTCTCTTCCGCGTTTGCATGTTTAAGATCCATGCTGTGATCAAGACCACTAACTTCGTCTTCTTCGGTGAAATAAGTATCCGATGGTGGGCCGAGGTGACCCTTGAACCAGGAAGAGACATTGATAGCCATCTTGACTTATGGCTATCACTAAGTTATCCGTGCTAAGTTTGACCAGTGCAGTATCTTTATTTTATCCAGATGTGAGACTGAGCTAAGGGATCAATGTTTGTGAAAAGAGGAGAAGTATGCGTTTGTAGCATGTAGTCCAATTTCAACTAATTGTAGGGTTGCGACGCGGCGTTGTGAACGGACAATGTCTTTCCGCTCGGGCGAAGATATAATCACACGACGCAATGTGAGATACTCACTTCATCGCTAGCGCGTACTGCCCACACCCTTGAGAAGTTACCGAATATTGTGTTTAGCTGAATTTACAGACATGAGAAATGAGCACATATGTGTCGTTGGTGATACTGCTTGCGAACAAGCTTACGCAAAAGTGACCGAAGAAATAGCCTTTCTCTCTAGCAATATATCCCATTGTTATAGGAAAGATTTAGCTAAGATCCCCAAAATTCTCGTTCTGCATTTTTGCGTTCTTTTCCTTCTCCAGGAAAATTTCCTGCTCAATTCGACTCTTTTTAACATCAACGAAGAAGAAAAGCCATGCGCAGCTGAATAAACTCAACGCGAACAAGAAATAGAACGGGCTACTGTTGTTGCCGGTATCATCGATAATGGCAGAGCTCACCAGTGGCCCAATAAAAGCGCTTGTCTTGCCGACGATGGAGAACAAGCTGAAGAAGAGAAATTCTTTGCCCCTTGGCGTGACCTCAGAGATCATGGTCTGCGAATAGCTGTACCATGGGCAGACAAGCAAGCCGTAAAAGACTTGATATAGCCATACTTCCCATTTGTTGTGGAAACCAAACTTTTGCGTCCAGATGCCAATCATGCCCCAGCCGTCAAGCAGAACAATGCATATAGCGACAACCATGAACATGGTCTTGGTGGAGAGACCATAGTGTTTTTGAATCTGCCAAAAGGCGCCGATGCCAACTGCCTGTGCAGCGATACCGACAATGAGAAGGTAGGTAAGCTGAAGACTATTGTATGCAACGATCTCATTTTGTAGGGTTCCGATGACTGTTACGGTTGTGTTAAGACTGTCACCAAGGAGGAAGTAGCCCGCTAGATATGCCAAACTTTGTCTCAGTTGCCAGATTTGACGCATCGCGTAGCCGAGCTGTTTGAGACCTGCCAGTATTATGTTTGCGCGTCCTGGATCCTGGCCGGGCCGCCTCTTCTCTAGGATGAACCAAGGAAGAGCGCACAAGATCCAAACGCCTGTTGCGAAGGCGATGAGCACGGAAAGACCCCAGTTGTTATTCTCTGCGCTGTCATTGACTTTCAGACCGAACATGATGCCAACAATGACAGCCAGAATGAGGATTTCGAAGACCGACTGAACATAGAACGCTGTATTAGAAAGCTCGTTTCGCTTCATCATATCCGCGAAATCATACTCCGAGCGAGTAATTGTTCCATCGGCAAACTGTTCGGCCTTGTCTCGTAGGTCCTTGGTGTTCCTTGCCAAGCCAGGGAATGCAGCGGTCCAGAATGTGATTGTCGTTTGGTATGCGATGAGGCCCACAATGTAGAGACCAACACCAGCATGCCACTTGTCTTCAGTATGAACTCCGAGCCAGCCAAATCCAATTCCAAAGGCGATGATGGACAGTCCTATGAGAATGTTGGGTCGCCATGTACCAAAATCTGCGAAAGAACCCAGGATGAGGAAAACAACAACCTGGATGGCGAAACTGATTCCGTTGGAGAGAAGCACGATCGAATTGATGTTTCGATCTCGACCCAAGAAATGCAGCACCTCAGAGTCTCCTGCCGCTTCGTACATAAGGTTCTGAAAAGCTGTAGGGCCGAAGTTGAAGAGCGTGAGGCCGTTGTCTCCGACGTAGTAGCTAGACGCGGGTTTCAATGTCAGCTATGGCACAGTTGATAGACTGCACTCCAAATGATTTTGTGCGCTAGAACATCAGCCTACCAGTAATACGACCATATCTCCCACTTCGATGTTTCGTAGCGTTCGTCGAACTGGTCGGGTGCGACAGGGATGTCGGTATCGACAGGTACGCCGATAGCACCTTTGATGGGGTCTTCAGCCGGCGCGCTGAGAGGCGCAAGGCCAGGCTCGTTCGATGCCATATTTGAGCAACCGATTGGAGGCAACGACTAAAAAGGCACGAGAAACTCAGTATTCAGCATTGCGCGACTCAAAGCTTTTATCAGCCAGGTAGTAGTCGCTTAGCGTGCTCTAGGGATTCGTCATGGTCGGAGATAACTTCCCAGCAATAGATGCAAAGAGGGTGCGCCTCGAGCCTAGGCCTCCAATGATGCGAAAGGTCGGAGGGATCATGGTCGCGATGTATGTACCGCGTGAATCAAAGTACCAATGATTGGGGAGATACCCGGCTAAGATATGCAAGCTATAGCCAAGCGGAGCTTGGTGAAAGAATAATGTGGAGTGGAGCTAGAAAACCCTGAATGCGCGATAAACTGGGATATGTTTGGATTAGTGTTTTTGCGCCACTGGCGTAGTCCCCATCTCGCGGCCCGCCCGAGTGCGCGAACTCCACACGCATATCGAGGTTTGACACAAGCGTTGTAACACAAACGCGGTGAGAGAAATAGCTTTTGGATCTTTGCTGACTCCACAAAAGAACGAGGAAAACTGTTCATCTCTCCAGGAGCGCTTGCCGTAGCCGAGGCCGTGACATCCGCAGTACCGCCGCTTGGCCTGCACCACTGGAGATGCTTATCGCCAGCACGTGACCGGGAACGGAGTCTTGGCCCGGCCTACGACATCGCAGAGTCTCCAGAGTTACATCCCCCATTCTACTTGAGAATGCTGTCACCCCACTGTCTGTACTGACTTCAAGAAAGTCCAGATCCGAGAAATGATTTCTGTGAATCAAGTGCGGTCATATACACCTAATCGACTAGGTAGTCAATGGCGTCGTTATTACAATCCTTGTTCTCTTTATTCATCTCTTCGCTATTTTATCGAGCACGTTCGTCTCCACTCTGTAGCTCCATTGCCTAGCTACTAAGGCTCACTTCACTGTTTTTTGTTTTGGTAATCTTGGACTCGTGCTTGTAGCCCAGAGAGCTCACAGCGGATAGTTGGGTAGGATAAATCAGCAATACTGGTTTATATTTCAAAAGTCGTAGATATCCTACTCTTGATTGCCGTAAGAGTAAGGAAGCGCAACGACTATCAACAAGGATGATAAGAGAAGCCGACCGCCCTGAGGCCCCTGGATCCCACCATATGCAGCTGTAAGCCAACACATTCTAACCATACATCAGGGCAAATAGCTCTACAGCTTCCTATTTCTGCTGCCTCGTGATCGGCGCCGGCACCGCATCCGCCTTCTTCCCAACCCGTTGAGGCCGCTTACCTGCCTTGGTTTGGTCAACCAGTCGATTGTTATCTCGATATCGCTCGTCGCCCTCGTGGACGTTTGGACATCTGTTGCCCTTGTCACAAGTGCCCGCAGCAAAGTTGAAGCACTTCTGCCGCACACAGTCAACGCCTTCTGCAGCACAGTTCGAGCATGGTTCACCCTCATCACACTCGTTCTCCCACCAGTGACGGTAACAGTTTACACACGGAACACTGGTTGGCTCAGAGGGACCTGGAGTCCGTCCACGCGAGCGTCCAGCGAGTGCGGGTGTAGAGCGAGAAGAAGCCCGAGTCGTACGTCCTGCAACTGAAGGCTGTCGTGAATCGTTCATGTAATTGTTAGGCTCATTCGGGGTGGTGTTGGACTCATAAGACAGGTCCCTTTCCTCACCCATCTGTAATTGAGAAGGGTCGACAGTGTAGTATTGGAAGTTGCGTTGCTGGGGTTGTTGGCGATCGGTTTCCTGGAACTCAGGCGTCGCGTTTGAAGGAAGGGCCGGAGTGTAGGCCCTCGGAGTATGAGTTCGCATGGCA